CAAGACCCTGACTGTCCACGCCTTGCATGTTTTTGGTCAACTTGAGATCCGAACTTGTGGTCAGCCAAGTGGCTTCCAGCACTGCAGATTAGGACTCTCTAAGTCTAAGCCACCATGGCAGAGCCAGTTTCTTAACTTTCAAAGGAAACACTATTATAATACTCAGATAGTTAATGTTTATTTGGGGTGGAATGTGCATGGCATACAATAAACATTATATATTTGCTTTTATTTTTATAAAGAAAATTAATTTCATAATGTCTGTGACAGACAGCTATTTGTGATTTTTAGTAATTCATCTCATTAAACGAAGGTGAACTATAACATTCTCAAGGTGATTAACCTAGCACACATTCAAAACCAAAAGCTTCAACACAGGCAGTCTTCCTTTTAATTCTCTGTGGGTAGGGAGGTAGATTTATTTACATTTCACTCTTAACCTACATAGGTTGACCACTGGAGATTTAATGTATCACTGGATCTTCTTTGAGACTACCCACTATGAGAGAGTCTTAGACTTTATTTCATTTCCAGGAGGCCTTTAAGCTATAAAACTTAAAACTCCAGCTCATCTCATTGAGCAAATGCCCTCAGGGTAAAATTTAACTTCATTGCTCTACTTGCAAATCTTCTGGATCCCTCCTTAATTTAGCCATCAGCCCATGTACTTCAAACTTTCTTTCTGCTCTTAGAAGCATTCATGAATATGTTTTGTTTCTATTTTATCTATAATTTTTATTATCTTCAGAGAATAGATCAGTCAGACACCAATACATCATAATGCCGTTCCAAATGTATATTAAAGTATTTGAGAACTATTTTTACTTTTATTTTTAAATAATATTTTTACCTCATAAACAAAAGTCAAATCATACACAAGAAATATGGAGACCAGCAGAGGGCATAGTGGTAAAAGTGCTAGACTCCCACATGGTCAACTACGGTTCGAGTCCCTGACCTGACGCCCAGATACTCACACAGGGTGCCTGTGCGGGCATGCTCAAAATCCCAAGAGGAGAATGGAGGAGAAGGGACTGTGGTATGGCCATCCCCCCTGGGGGGTGATTTCTTGTTCTCTGTCTCTCTGGTGAGTGCCTGCACCCTATAGAAAAAACCTCTCCAAAAGAAAAAAAAAATCATATACAAGAATCTAAAATAGACAGCAAACTTTTCTTTGATCTTTTCCTGGTTCCATTTTGAAATAATTCCTAAGAGTAATTGGTCTTTAAGGAATTTTTTTTTCCCCTGTGAAATGTTCTATCGTTCTTCTTCTTGTTCTTGTGTTTATTCGTTTTTGGTACTTGCCATCACAAGTTTAATATAAGGACTAATACTGATTTTGACCTCTGAGAATCCTGCACTATGAAATAAGAAACTTAACACATACATTGCATCCCAACTTCTTGATATTATTATTATTATTGTTAAGATTTTTAATATTTACATTGTTTTAAATTATAATCAAGTTCAATGTTATTTGTAGAGGCCAATTTAAAATCAACAAATTTTAAAACAAGATTTAGATTATTAATAGGCCCAATGGAAGCAAGCAGTGTAGCCAAATACAAACAGAATTAAATAAAATTCTGTTACCAAACCTTTGTCTCTTAAAGAATAAGCATGAGCTAAAATGCCTTCATTAATTTGTCACTTTTCTCTGCTTCATCCAGGACATGGCCACTTTTTATTCTTCTCTGTTTATACTACCTTTCTCTTGTTTGCCTAATCTTATTTTTGTGGAGGTAATTTTATATATGGGAATATAGAGATACCAAACTTTCTTAGCACTTCCATGTCAGAAAATTATTTTCTTGAATCATTTAACTGAATTTTGGGTAGAGAGATTTCTAAATCCAAAATTATTTCCTCTGCAAATTAAGAGAAAATTCAGTCCTTCATCCCTGAGCTCTGAAATCCTGCTAAGGCTGTGAAGCAAGAATCTGGTGTCAGTAACACTTCTCCTCTCCTTGTAGGTGACCCAGTTTCTTTTCTCTATGGAAATTTCAAGGGCATTTTTTTAATTTATTGTCTTCAAAAACTCAAAATAGTGTGAAAGGAAATAGGGGGGGTCTTGTTTTGTTTTGTTTTATGAGAGATTTTTACTATAGAGTGTACACACAAGCTAGAAAGATTTTTGCTATAGAGTATACACACAAGCTAGAAAAAACAAGAAATCATCCCCAGAGGGGATGGCCATGCCACAATCCCTTCTTATCCATTCTCCTCTAGGGATTTGGGGCACATATGCACATTCACCTGCATGAGTTTTAAGTCACCAGGTTTGGGACTCAAACCATGATCAACTATGTGGGAGTCCAGCAATATAACCTTTATACCATCTGCTGGTCCCAGGAAATAGGTCTTTTTAAATTCATCTTCTTCGGCATTTTATTGAGCTTCTCAAATTAAATACTTGTGCTTCTACTCAAGTTAGAATAACTTTCTGATTTTTTTTTACATCAAATAAATACACCACGTTATTTTCTCAGTATTATGTATCTAAAATGTTTAACAGACAGATATTTGGCTTGCATGTAGCCCCCATTGGTCATATATTCAATCTTTTTATCTTTTTACATTAAACTAATACTCATGATATGACTTTTTAAAGAAAAAATATTTCACTGGGATACTGTAAAAGGAAGGGAGGTGTACATGTAGGCTCAGTCTTTCATATGAAACAAGAAGTCAAGGGTTTTCCTTTCTTTTTTTATTTTAATGTGAAAGTGTAACTTGGAAAATTAAACAATTTTATCCTCCTCAAGATTACAGCATATTCACACATATATAATATATCTAGGAGGTAAATTTTTTAGTAATTTTATCTGAAGTGAAAATTATGTTTGACAGATTGTTTCCATTTTTTAGATCAACAATTTAGATTTTTCATTATATATAATATATATTCTATTATATTATTATATACGTGTATATATATATATATGTATATATACACACACACATATATATAATATACCTACCTATGTAAAGGAATTATCATTTGTAAGAAGGATTCAAAAACAAAGGTTTCCTATGTGACTAAACTGTTTTGCATTTTGGGTAACCGACTCCTACCCAATATTTTAATTCCAAGTGTTTTGTGCCAAACATGCACACATACACACACACACAAACACACACGCACACACACAGAGTTTCCAAATCCAATGAAAGACAAAGTTAAAAGGAAAAAAATGTATTAGGTAAAAGCAATTGGTGGAGAAACTCATCTTCCTTTAGAACAGATCTATCTGTGCCATCTTTTTTCACTACAAACGTCAAGTGTAACACATACAACAGCATTCCTACAGGTACCTCTAAAGTGCAGATTTCTATTTTGTCCTAGTAGCTCTAATATTATGATAAAAGTAACTATGAAACCATTCTAGATATTCCTAAGTGTAAAAGTTTTATATTAGTAATAAGTTACTATGACATATTATACTTCACAATGGATCCTGAAGTGTATACAATGATTTACTTGAAAAACATAACCCAACCCTAAAATTCTTCCAGATGAAAAATGATCTATTAAAACAGCACACATATTTAATAATACTGAGAACTACTATATTTCAAGAATACTGCCAGATAATTTTAAACTGTGTTTTGAATATGTAACTACCAAAAAATCTCATAGAACTTGAGACTACTTCTGCCCCATCTTAGATTCAGGCTACTTAGGCACTGGAAAAAAAGTAAGCCCATTCCTGAATGGCTCCCACCAAATTAATTAATCTAATTCCTATGATATTCTAGATATTCACAGTTATGTTAACTAGCATTGTATTACTTTCCTTAAATTAGTTATTCCTAATATTTTACTAGTTATTTCACAATTGGAAACATTAAAGAACAACTCAGCATTATCTCACTAACAGAATATTTTTTTATTTCAGCAAGTAATGCTCTACTTTGTTTGATTAGTTACATTTTAGACCCTTATTGATGATTCTGTTTTAGTAACTTATTATTAATAGTATCTTATAAAGTCGGTCCACTTTCTCTTAAAATTAATTTAACAGCATCTTGTATACACCAAGCTACATCGTGACATTTGTCTTAGTCTATTTGGTTTGCTGTAGCAAAATATCATAAACTGGGTAGCTTATTTTAAAAAAATTCATTTCTCACAGTTACAGAAACTGGAAAGCTCAAGATCAAGGTCAAGCAGATTCAGTGTCTGGTGAAGTCTTCCTTCCTCGTGAGTGGCACTTTTTCTCTGTGTCCTCCCAGAGAGGGTATAACAGCTCCCGTTGGGCCCATTTTATAAAAGCACTGATCCCATTCATAAGGGCTCTGTCCTCAAACCCAGTTACCTTCCGAAAGTCCCACCTCCTAACAGTTGCATTTGGGGTTAGAATTACAACATATGCATTTGGAGGGGACACAAACATTCAAACCATAACAACACTATTAATAACTTTTTAACTGTAAATTTTGCTTTCATCTTTTTGTAAAGTTAATCTGAATAAAAGAGTAGACTATTCATTTGAAAACTGAATATGCTTTACTCTTTTTCAATTTGCTTAATATTATTTATGAAAAGTGAAAATTTAGAATAGTCATATCAACACAATTTAAAATGTAAGTTAACAGGAGTAAAAAGAAAAAAATCACTAAGCAATCTTAAGTTTCAATATGAATTCAAACTGAAAGGAGAAAAAATTCAGACTATGATAAACTGAGTTGAGCATAAAGTAAACCTTCTATTTCATATACAGCACAATGAGTTCAGCTTTCACCCATGTCCTAACAGTGAATGCGCTCTGACCTTACTAGAACTGTTCCACATAATATTTTGTCCTAGAGTCATGCTGGACTTCTGCTTACCTTCAAAAATTTTGTTAAACGTAAAAATATGGTAAGTATCAGACTAGCCAAAGGTGATATAACAGATACCAAGCACCTCTCTCGGGTCCTAATATAATGTTCATGTTAAAAAGTCTCCTCTGTGATTTACAGATTACGGGTAGGTGTGATTATGGGCATCTACTTACCACATCTGGTACTTTACTAGCTCTTTCTGTTCTTGACAAGAAAGCAGCATATCGGTTAGTCAAGTTAGGTAATTCATCAGAAATTCCACGGACCTGTGAATTACAAGGCATGTTGAAAGAAGGAGTTACAAAGGGTATATATAATTTATTTTTATCAATAACAGTGGCAGTATAAGTAATAAGTTTGCAATGAAGTTCATCAATATTGCTCTGTAATTAATTACAGACATATATTCTTTAAAAGTCCATTTTAATAGGATATATAAGTAAAAATCTTTAAGTCAATCAGATATTAAATTGGAAAAAGCATTGATCATATGAACTGCTAGTTAAGCACAATAGATCTGCATACATTATTTAAATATATTAGGGGTAAGTAATTAGCTATGCTCTAAAGTCATTATTGGCTATTAATTCTTATTCTATTTTATAACCAGCGTGTTTTGACTCAGTAATATAAACATATAAGGTATCCAGCCATTTACATCATGTATTTGTTAATATTTATTATTAACAAATGAAAAATGTATTAACAGTAATTATTTCACTTAATAATGTGGAAATTCTTGTTTAAAACATTTCCTAAGAAAATAATCCACACTTTCTACATTTCATAATTCCTTATATGTATTAAAGATGTAAATTAAGAGACTAAGGAAGGCACGTAATCTAAAAATTTAATCAGCAATTAATTAATCCTTATGATATTATATTCTTTCTGATTTACTATACAATTTAGTCATTTGTATTCATTTAATAATGTAAACTATATAAACAGCAGCAATAGTCTTTGTATCTACAAGAGGGATAAGGATTTATTGGGTTGTTGGAAAAGTCCCAAGATGTATTTTTTGTTTTTCTAAGAAAAGCATTATGACAACCCAGTATTTTCTCATTTTTATGCACCTTTACATTTTTATATTTTTAATTTTACATTTTTATACATTTTTATATTTTACAACAACTTAACATTTTCTCATTTTTACACATTTCATTATTTTTAATTCAGAATTTGATATTTACATTTATTATTTCAGAACTTGACACATACTGGAAAAATAGATACATCTGTCTACATTTTTTTGGGTAACATTAATTTACTAAAATATCCATCCCCATACACAGGACTAGAAATTTTGACAAAGAAATTCTAAAACATTTCACAATTTTTACTATTCAGGGGATAAACAGTTATCAAGCTTGAAAAAAATTACCAAAAAATAAATTATTCATTGGATGACTTAGGTTATAGTGAGAATGAGTAGTTTGCAGTAAACCACATTTCTACCCTGAATAATTGAAATAAATCCAGATAAAATAATAACAAAAATCCTTTTTTTTTTTTTTTCAGAGAGGTTTTCACTATAGGGCGCGTGCGCTCGCCAGACAGACAGAGAGAGACATAGAGACAGAAAGCGAGAAATCACCCCCCACGGGGGATGGCCACACCACAGTCCCTTCTCCATTCTCCTCTTGGGATCTTGGGCACGCACGCACACGCACCTGGTGTGAGTTTCAAGCCACCGGGTCCGGGACACGAACCATAGTCAACTACGTGGGAGTCCAGCTACATAGCCATTACGCTAACTGCTGGTTCCCAATAACAAAAATCTTATTGTTAAAGACCTCAGAGACCTGTGGCATAGGCCATTAGGGCTAAGATTCTGAGGACAGTTAAACTCTGGGAGGTGAGCTATCAGACTGCAGGTGCTTTTTTCTGGTGGGTGTTTGCTGATAACAAGCAACAGATTAAGATTCAAATTTATGGGGCAAGCAGGTGGCTGGTGATTAGCACACTAGACCCATGTAGCCAACTGTTGTTCGAGTCCCAGACCTTTCCGTCTCTCTGGTGAGCACACATGCCCTATAGCAAATTTTTAAAATAATAATAATAAAATTAAATAATACTTTAAAAGAAAAGATATGAGTATAGACCTGATAAATGATGCTGTTAAGGAACTGAGAAAAAGACATTAACTAGTAACATGAAAACAATTAAATAGAAAACTCACTGATAAAAGTACACAATCAAATACAGAATATTACAATACTATAATAGTTGTGTGTAAATTACTTATGTCTTTAGTTGGTGAGTAAAAATCAAAACTGTTAAAAACTACAATAATAAATGTAGTTATGCAAATGGCCAACAGATATGTGGAAAATTCTGAACTCTAATCACCAGGGAAATGCAAATTAAAATCACTACAAGAACTCACCTTACATCTGTTACAATGCTGTTATCCAAAAGACAAAAAAGATAAGTGCTTATGAGGATGGGAAAATGTGAATCTCTGTACACTGTTGGTGAGAATGCAAATGAGTACAGCCATTATGGAAATCAGTATGGAGTTTCCTCAAAACATTAAAAGTAGAACTGCCATATGATCCAGCAATCCCACTTCTTGGTATATATATCCAAAAGATATGAAATCATTATGTAAAACTAAGGTATCTGCACTCCTATATTTATTGCAGCATTATACACAATAGCTAAGCTATAGAATCAACCTTAAGAGTTGGGGGCCAGCAGGTGGTGTGGTGGTTAAAGGTGCTGGACTTCCACATGGCTGACCACAGTTCGAGTCTTGAACCTGGCGCTTGCTTTCTCACTTTCTTTCTTTCTCTCTCTCTCTCTCTCTCTCTCTCTCTCTCTCTCTCTCTCTCTCTTTCTCTCCCCCCTCTCTCTTTCTCTCTCTCTCTCTATCTCTCTCTGATTAAACTGGAAAATAATAATAATAAATAAAGTTAAATAAAAAATATTTCTAAAATGAAAAGTCTGTCAATGAGTGAATGGGTAAAGAAACTGTGGTAAATACACACAATCAAATACTATACCACCATTAAAAGAATAAAAATAAATAAATAAAATCCTGTCACTCATGTCAACATGGCTGACTTACCATGGACAGCATTATGTCAGTGAAATAAACCAGTCATAGAAAGAAAAATACTGCAAAATTGTACTCATATTGGAATCTAAAAAAGTTGCTCTCATACGTGTAGAATGTAGAATAGTGTTCACCAGGGACTCAGGCAAGTAGGGGAAGCAGACTGGAGAAATGTTTGTCAAAGGATACAAAATTTCAGGTAGATAGGAGAAACAAATTCTTAAGATCCACCATATGAATGGTGACTATGGTTAATAATAATTGGTTTTATTCTTGAAAAATGTTGTGAATGGATGTGAGGTGTTCTCACCACAAAAACAGTGAATGTAAGTAAAGTAAAGGGACCAGGAGATGGCATAACGGTTATGTCACTGGACTTCCATGTAGTCAACCACTGTTCAAGTCCTGGACCCAGCACTTAAAACATGCCAGATACATGTGTGTGCATATCCAAAATCCCAAAAGGAGAAGGGATTGTGGCATAGCCATCCCCCTGGGGGGGGGGGTGACTTCTCACTTTCTGTCTCTGTCTTCTCTGGCAAGGACCTTACAGCAAAAATCTCTCTCGGGAAAAAAAAAAAAGTAAAGTACATGTTAATTAGCTAAATTTAGCATTCCACAATGTATATATACTTCAAAAGATTATGTTGTACAAGGTAAACACATACAATTTTATCTGTCAATTTTTTTTTCTTTTTCTTTTTTAGAGAGGTTTTTGCTATAGGGCGCATGTACTCACCAGAAAGACAGAGAGACAGAAAGTGAGAAATCACCCCCCAGGGGAAATGGCTACGCTGCAATCCGTTCTCCTCCATTCTCCTCTAGAGATCTTGGGCACACATGTGCACACGTCTGGCATGAGTTTAAGCCTCTGGGTCCAGGATTCAAACTGTGGTCGACTACATAAAGAGTCCAGCAACATAACCATTATGCCATCTGCTGGTCCCATCTGTCAATATTTTTAAAATTTTAATAAAAAAGAGAAAGTAGGCATCAAAACTTAGAGCTCAAAAGCTGCTAGAAAGAGTGGCCTCTTATTTAAATCTACTTATTTAATACTATCTCCAGAGGACTACTGAAGAAAATGAAGCAACCAAAGGTAAACTATATCCTAGCAAAAATGTATTCAGCATAATTCATGAGTGAATTAAGGTGATTTCCTCACTATCATCCAAGTC